GACAGATCATGTACGTGCATACCGATATATCTGTAGATAACCTCCCTGCTAAGACAGATCATGTACGTGCATACCGATATATCTGTAGATAACCTCCCTGCTAAGACAGATCATGTACGTGCATACCGATATATCTCTGTAGATAACCTCCCTGCTAAGACAGATCATGTACGTGCATACCGATATATCTATCTGTAGATAACCTCCCTGCTAAGACAGATCATGTACGTGCATACCGATATATCTGTAGATAACCTCCCTGCTAAGACAGATCATGTACGTGCATACCGATATCTCTGTAGATAACCTCCCTGCTAAGACAGATCATGTACGTGCATACCGATATATCTCTGTAGATAACCTCCCTGCTAAGACAGATCATGTACGTGCATACCGATATCTCTGTAGATAACCTCCCTGCTAAGACAGATCATGTACGTGCATACCGATATATCTGTAGATAACCTCCCTGCTAAGACAGATCATGTACGTGCATACCGATATATCTGTAGATAACCTCCCTGCTAAGACAGATCATGTACGTGCATACCGATATCTCTGTAGATAACCTCCTGCTAAGACAGATCATGTACGTGCATACCGATATATCTGTAGATAACCTCCCTGCTAAGACAGATCATGTACGTGCATACCGATATATCTGTAGATAACCTCCCCCTGCTAAGACAGATCATGTACGTGCATACCGATATATCTGTAGATAACCTCCCTGCTAAGACAGATCATGTACGTGCATACCGATATATCTGTAGATAACCTCCTGCTAAGACAGATCATGTACGTGCATACCGATATATCTGTAGATAACCTCCCTGCTAAGACAGATCATGTACGTGCATACCGATATCTCTGTAGATAACCTCCCTGCTAAGACAGATCATGTACGTGCATACCGATATATCTGTAGATAACCTCCCTGCTAAGACAGATCATGTACGTGCATACCGATATATCTGTAGATAACCTCCCTGCTAAGACAGATCATGTACGTGCATACCGATATATCTGTAGATAACCTCCCTGCTAAGACAGATCATGTACGTGCATACCGATATATCTGTAGATAACCTCCCTGCTAAGACAGATCATGTACGTGCATACCGATATATCTGTAGATAACCTCCCTGCTAAGACAGATCATGTACGTGCATACCGATATATCTGTAGATAACCTCCCTGCTAAGACAGATCATGTACGTGCATACCGATATATCTGTAGATAACCTCCCTGCTAAGACAGATCATGTACGTGCATACCGATATCTCTGTAGATAACCTCCCTGCTAAGACAGATCATGTACGTGCATACCGATATATCTGTAGATAACCTCCCTGCTAAGACAGATCATGTACGTGCATACCGATATATCTGTAGATAACCTCCCTGCTAAGACAGATCATGTACGTGCATACCGATATATCTATCTGTAGATAACCTCCCTGCTGCTAAGACAGAACATGTACGTGCATACCGATATATCTGTAGATAATATCTGTAGATAACCTCCCTGCTAAGACAGATCATGTACGTGCATACCGATATCTCTGTAGATAACCTCCCTGCTAAGACAGATCATGTACGTGCATACCGATATATCTGTAGATAACCTCCCTGCTAAGACAGATCATGTACGTGCATACCGATATATCTGTAGTAGATAACCTCCCTGCTAAGACAGATCATGTACGTGCATACCGATATATCTCCTCTGTAGATAACCTCCCTGCTAAGACAGATCATGTATCGTGCATACCGATATCTCTGTAGATAACCTCCTGCTAAGACAGATCATGTACGTGCATACCGATATCTCTGTAGATAACCTCCTGCTAAGACAGATCATGTACGTGCATACCGATATATCTGTAGATAACCTCCCTGCTAAGACAGATCATGTACGTGCATACCGATATATCTGTAGATAACCTCCCTGCTAAGACAGATCATGTACGTGCATACCGATATATCTGTAGATAACCTCCCTGCTAAGACAGATCATGTACGTGCATACCGATATATCTGTAGATAACTTCCTGCTAAGACAGATCATGTACGTGCATACCGATATATCTCTGTAGATAACCTCCCTGCTAAGACAGATCATGTACGTGCATACCGATATCTCTGTAGATAACCTCCTGCTAAGACAGATCATGTACGTGCATACCGATATATCTATCTGTAGATAACCTCCCTGCTAAGACAGATCATGTACGTGCATACCGATATCTCTGTAGATAACCTCCCTGCTAAGACAGATCATGTACGTGCCTGATATCTCTGCTAACCTCCCTGCTAAGACAGATCATGTACGTGCATACCGATATCTCTGTAGATAACCTCCCTGCTAAGACAGATCATGTACGTGCATACCGATATATCTGTCTGTAGATAACCTCCTGCTAAGACAGATCATGTACGTGCATACCGATATATCTGTAGATAACCTCCCTGCTAAGACAGATCATGTACGTGCATACCGATATATCTGTAGATAACCTCCCTGCTAAGACAGATCATGTACGTGCATACCGATATATCTGTAGATAACCTCCCTGCTAAGACAGATCATGTACGTGCATACCGATATCTCTGTAGATAACCTCCCTGCTAAGACAGATCATGTACGTGCATACCGATATATCTGTAGATAACCTCCCTGCTAAGACAGATCATGTACGTGCATACCGATATCTCTGTAGATAACCTCCCTGCTAAGACAGATCATGTACGTGCATACCGATATCTCTGTAGATAACCTCCCTGCTAAGACAGATCATGTACGTGCATACCGATATCTCTGTAGATAACCTCCCTGCTAAGACAGATCATGTACGTGCATACCGATATATCTGTAGATAACCTCCCTGCTAAGACAGATCATGTATCATGTACGTGCATACCGATATCTATCTGTAGATAACCTCCCTGCTAAGACAGATCATGTACGTGCATACCGATATATCTGTAGATAACCTCCCTGCCCTGCTAAGACAGATCATGTACGTGCATACCGATATCTCATGTATCTCTGTAGATAACCTCCCTGCTAAGACAGATCATGTACGTGCATACCGATATATCTGTAGATAACCTCCCTGCTAAGACAGATCATGTACGTGCATACCGATATCTCTGTAGATAACCTCCCTGCTAAGACAGATCATGTACGTGCATACCGATATCTCTGTAGATAACCTCCCTGCTAAGACAGATCATGTACGTGCATACCGATATATCTGTGTAGATAACCTCCCTGCTAAGACAGATCATGTACGTGCATACCGATATCTCTGTAGATAACCTCCCTGCTAAGACAGATCATGTACGTGCATACCGATATCTCTGTAGATAACCTCCCTGCTAAGACAGATCATGTACGTGCATACCGATATATCTATCTGTAGATAACCTCCCTGCTAAGACAGATCATGTACGTGCATACCGATATCTCTGTAGATAACCTCCCTGCTAAGACAGATCATGTACGTGCATACCGATATATCTATCTGTAGATAACCTCCCTGCTAAGACAGATCATGTACGTGCATACCGATATATCTGTAGATAACCTCCCTGCTAAGACAGATCATGTACGTGCATACCGATATCTCTGTAGATAACCTCCCTGCTAAGACAGATCATGTACGTGCATACCGATATATCTATCTGTAGATAACCTCCCTGCTAAGACAGATCATGTACGTGCATACCGATATCTCTGTAGATAACCTCCCTGCTAAGACAGATCATGTACGTGCATACCGATATCTCTGTAGATAACCTCCCTGCTAAGACAGATCATGTACGTGCATACCGATATATCTGTAGATAACCTCCCTGCTAAGACAGATCATGTACGTGCATACCGATATATCTGTAGATAACCTCCCTGCTAAGACAGAACATGTACGTGCATACCGATATATCTGTAGATAACCTCCTGCTAAGACAGATCATGTACGTGCATACCGATATATCTGTAGATAACCTCCCTGCTAAGACAGATCATGTACGTGCATACCGATATATCTGTAGATAACCTCCTGCTAAGACAGATCATAACCTCCCGATGCTAAGAACCTCCCTCTAAGACAGATACGTGCATACCGATATATCTGTAGATAACCTCCCTGCTAAGACAGATCATGTACGTGCATACCGATATATCTGTAGATAACCTCCCTGCTAAGACAGATCATGTACGTGCATACCGATATATCTGTAGATAACCTCCCTGCTAAGACAGATCATGTACGTGCATACCGATATCTCTGTAGATAACCTCCCTGCTAAGACAGATCATGTACGTGCATACCGATATATCTGTAGATAACCTCCCTGCTAAGACAGATCATGTACGTGCATACCGATATATCTATCTGTAGATAACCTCCCTGCTAAGACAGATCATGTACGTGCATACCGATATATCTGTAGATAACCTCCCTGCTAAGACAGATCATGTACGTGCATACCGATATATCTGTAGATAACCTCCTGCTAAGACAGATCATGTACGTGCATACCGATATCTCTGTAGATAACCTCCCTGCTAAGACAGATCATGTACGTGCATACCGATATATCTGTAGATAACCTCCTGCTAAGACAGATCATGTACGTGCATACCGATATATCTGTAGATAACCTCCCTGCTAAGACAGATCATGTACGTGCATACCGATATCTCTGTAGATAACCTCCCTGCTAAGACAGATCATGTACGTGCATACCGATATATCTGTAGATAACTTCCCTGCTAAGACAGATCATGTACGTGCATACCGATATATCTGTAGATAACCTCCCTGCTAAGACAGATCATGTACGTGCATACCGATATCTCTGTAGATAACCTCCTTGCTAAGACAGATCATGTACGTGCATACCGATATATCTATCTGTAGATAACCTCCTTGCTAAGACAGATCATGTACGTGCATACCGATATATCTGTAGATAACTCGCTTGTCAGGGCGATAGAGCGCACAAATTGGTTAGTGAGGATGCTCTTTTTCTTGCTTATGACCATCTTCTACCCGGTGTTAGCCATCATACTCTGGGCAGCTCCGTCTTCTAGGGTAAGTACCAAACGATGCATGCAACCTGTCGGAAACCATATCTATGTCTAACTTGATTTCCATATTTAGACTTAACGTTTAACCCTTTTCTCAACCAAAAAATGCTTCAGATTTGGTTAATGTACAAAACATTAAGATGAAATAGAAACATTTTTGAAAATCTATACATTAACATCAACAACAGTACGAGTACTGAGTTCCATAGGGTACTCGTACTGCTGTCAATCACTCTTTAATGTGCTTCGCCTGGTGGCCCTCGAGGACCAAAAACTGTATGACTGCTCTGTACTCAAGGTTCTCCATTTTTGCTGTTGCAATAGGGGTACATGTGATTAGATGTCACGTGACCGCAAACTAGCGGCATGTGCATGTCAATATTACTTTTATGTGAATGATATATTCTTCATTCTTTAATATCCCACAGTTTTTTATATCATTCACACATCAACTTTCTGAAGTATTTTAGGTTCAAAACTGCTTGATAGCCCCTCGTATTCCGCACAGAGCTTAGCTGCTACGATCATCTGAATCTGGATTAATGGGTGGGAATTATAATAATCTCAGCAATAAGACTGCTTTGTGGAACGCAGTACCGAACTAAAGGATAATCTTTGATTTCACTCCCAGGTTGCTAGAATCCTCCGCTCTCCGTGTGTGATGTTCACAGGGAAGATGATCTCACATGCCCTGTTTCTCATGTTCATCCTGGTCGCATCTCTGGAGCATCCAACTAATCGAAAGTTGACTTCATATGGCGCCTTAAAGAACGCCAGCTACCGTCATCTCAGCACCAACTGCACAAGTCAGACGCTTTGTGACTTTGCCGTGCGCTCGTCCGAGTTTGAGGTCATAACAATACTCATTGGGCTTTGGTGTGCTGGTAATCATTGCGTTTGGTGGTCGCCCCGTGGGGATCACTCCAATAAACAGACCCGTGATGATTCGGGTTAGAATTGATCTTCAGTGACCTATGCTTGTCGTTAGATGTGACTAACGGGATCAGGTGGTCAGGCTCGCTGACTTGGTTGACACATGTTATCGTATCCCAGTTGCGTAGATCGATGTTCATGCTGTTGATCACTGGATTGTCTGGTCCAGACTCGATTATTTACAGACAACCGCCATGTAGCTGGAATATTGCTGAGTGCGATGTAAAACTAAAGTCACTCACTCACTCACCACTAACTCGACTGAAAATAACAGTTAGCAGTCGTGTACCATACCTAACCGACTCAAATTATTTCCATTCAGTTTTGTCTTCAAATCAAAGTGTTTTTGTAATTTTTTGTTCATACAAGATACTCTAGCATATGTTATATTTTTATGGGGTTGAATCTCATCCGGAATTCGAACCCATACTCTCAGACTGAGGCCACTAATCGTCAGTACACAAAGTCTGCGCTCCAACCCACTTAGCCATCGACTATCGTGTCCAATCCGGGATTCGACCCCAATCCCTCCTGAGTGAGGCACCCAATCCTCCTCGGTTTCTGTTGAAGACTCGGGGGCTGAGTGGTTCGGATCGCATACCTTGAGTGCTGGCGACTAGGTGCCTCGGGTAATAACTCAAAGTAATATTTAAGGCAAGTGCAGGAATCTAAATAAAAGTGTCTTGACTGATGTACATCCCCTTGACTGACACAAGACGGATAAAGGATATATTAAAATTTATTTTAATCGATCTTTCGACAACCTTCGAAGACATTCGTATGTAGTTCCGAAGAGAATTGATCGATGTAATATTTAAAACGGTTTCAAATTTAGTTTATCGTGACCATAGTCACAGGTAATATAACTTATAAAAGTAAAATTTATTTTTCTTTGTTTTCCACTTTTTTTCAGAAGTGAATATTTTAAATCCAAAGCAATAGCTTACATATGTCTTGTCCGTTATTCTGGACTTTGAGACTAATAATAACCCTGTCTGTCTTACTTAGGCTTGTTTTGTCAAGAGGTTCAGGAGTTCTACAAGGGTGGTGTGTCCGGCTATTTCGATTCCATCTTCAACTACATGGACACCGCCGTCATTGTGCTGTACCTCGCCTGGGCCAGCCTCAAACTGGTGACAGTCCATAAGGTGAGCTTCAGAACAATGGATTTCTGTGTTAATCATTAGCGGATCTTCTTAAATATTGAAGCATCTTCACACTGATGTTGCCTTTAACGAAGGTGCAGAACAATTACAACATAAATAGTTTCGTTTGTTCAATTTCCGGGATTCGTTGGAATTCAACATCTAGGGAAATTTAGTTTAAAGCCGACGGCGTTAGCCGGAGGTTTTAAACGCTAAAATTTGCCTAGACTTATTCCAGTGAATCCCGGAATAGAACAAACGAAACTATTTATCGATATTGTAAACCAATTCGTAGTGAGAAGCGGTTTTTTTCAAGGAACTCTTTGAATGTAGCAAGATCGCCTGTCGCAAAGCGATTAGCCTATCGTGGTCTAGTTCGCAGTCGCCCCAGATACGAGAAACGACACAAGAAGGGTTACGCTAAATTATCTAATGGGGGAGATACGTTACGTCATGTTCCAAATGAATAACTGTCAATATAATACATACAACAAAATGTATTCAGTCTCTTATTTTAATTAAACTTGATGAGTAACATATTACATGTTTTCATGTTAATCTCAATTACTGAAATACCACTGGAATGACAATGACAATTGAAGAGTTCCATTTTATGCTACCTTCTCCACCTCGTGTAATCTAACGTAGACTGGTCCAATCAATGATGACCAAATGGATTTGATCGTGTCAAGTTAGGCCTTCTGTTGATTAACGAAGCTGATATTTTTTTGGTAGAATTGTGTATGCCCTGAAACATTCCCATCACTGACACAATTGAAGAACTTTGCATGTGTGAAGAGGGCCTAGATGATGAAACAGTGGCAACCACGGCAGGAGAATCGACACGTTGGCATTTGTTTGCTCTGTTTTCGCGATCAGACCCCTGCAAAATGGCCGAGTACCTCTTCTGTACACTGCTGGATTCGGTGCAGTATATTTTAAACTTTGATCATTTTTGTGCCAAGTGATTTTGCAAATTTCTCTGTTTTCGATTCCGGCATGGGATAGCAGAGTGACGGCTGTTGCACGAAGGCAGTTATTCTTGTACGTGTGTGGCACGTATTTTATTTGGCTCAATGGAATCTGTCAAATTGCCTTGGTGATTTTTTTTGTGAGTTCGGAGTGTGCCATTTCAATAATAATTACAGCCATCTTCATCAACAGAGACCTGAAAAGACGATGAGCGAGATGATTGTCTGGTTTTCATTATCCCGACGGGCGAATCCAAGAGATATGTCAAACCATACTTTATTGAACAGGCCGACAGGTGAAGACAAATCGAAACTTTCTCGGATCATCGCCAGCTCGGTCGCGGGGATTGCAGCTTAATGTTTCGTTTTATCTAGGCCCTCATTTTTCATTTGTCTGACTATAGAAATGAAAACATTGTTTGCAGTATAGAAATCTTTTTCATTCATAATGTTGATATCACGTTCAAATGGAGGAGAACGCAGATGGCGATTGATGGCCGCCCGGAAGCCGACGAAGGTCCGCCACGACCATTACCACTTCAGCCTAGAATGTACGGAGATAAGTGTTCAGTGGTTGAGAATCAAAATTCTCAAAGTCGGGAGGATATCCCATCTCTTGGAGCCACTTTGTGAATGAAGAGAAGGTAAGATTATAAGGTAACAAATTTGTAAGAAAATCATAGATTTTTTATCTATGCAGTACAGTATCGCTTGCAGGAGTGTATTAAATATTGGGCTAACATATTTATGTAATCATTAACACGTTATTGTATTATGTTATTGTTAAAAATGTGTGTAAATTCGCATTTTGCCGTCAATGCAGATCTAGAGTGTTGATGTGTATGCTTCATTTATTTATGGTGGATAAAAACATTTTGTGAAAGACGTTTCGCCAGTTTTAACTGTTCAGTGGAGGTAACTATCTATTTAAATTTCTTTCTCTTTGTTTACAAAATGTCGTAGGGGCGCACAACGAAACAGTTAAACACCGCCTTTGATAAAGACACATCAGTGATTTGTTGCATGCCATCAACTCTGGTGCCGCTCTGGTCAGCCGATACTGATGGACGCTCGCTCGTCAAGGCCAGGGCCGGGTCTGGGAATTTGACAGCGTTAGCCGAGTTGACAACCTGAATGGATTTTACGTCAGGTTCTTGGAGAAAGTCGAAAACTATTTCCAAATAAAAATTAGTATTTTTACCAATTGTAAGTATTTTTGAATTTTATTTATTTGTCAATTATCAGAAATTTTTTATTAACACTGCCCTTTGTATGTCATTTTAGAATAAATGTGTTTGCTCGACTGAGATTTTATGTCTCTTCAATCATGACTTAAAGAGCAGATAAGCGTTCTGTTAGGTAAACAAATAAAATACTTACCTTCATCATTTTATTAACTCCTCCAAAATTGCATTATCTCCAAAACTTTCATTAAAGGAACCAAGAAAAAATTCTGGACCACACAAAATAGAGTTAGCCTCCATTATGCAAATGAAAGTAGTGTATATTCTTACGTATCATTGGCTGTTATTCCACTTTTGTAATTCATGATATCGAACTACTGTAAACGTAGTATATTTCGCGCAGGTTTTATTTTCGCGCTTTTCGCTCAAAACATTTTAGCGCGAAAATTTATACACCGCGAATAAACCTGTCATTCATTCAGTCTGGCCACGCTCGCCCTGAGTTGTTACCATAACACATCACGTTTGAAGACAAATCTACGTGAATCTTAAAATGACGACTGATAGTAGCATAAAGAATCAAACTAGTATTTATTTGACGAGGTTTCTCGACCAATGAAATTACAGAAAACAATCACTATTGGTTTACAATACCTGTTTGTACCATGGGCATTCAATAAGTTTTGTAACTTGGGCATTTGTATTGACACAAACAATGTCAACTTCAACTTGTGGCAGGTGTGGCACTAGTCATAACATCAGGTTGACACGTGTCACGACAAGTTCCAGTTAGATATGATGGCTTCATTCACCTAGGGGTGGTCACAATCATGGATTCTCTCAAACATGAACAATGCGCTGTAATAAAGTTCCTTACCAAGGAGGGATGCAAAGCAAAAGAAATCGGTGATCGTATGTGTAAAGTGAAGCACAAATAGAACAAGTGTATTGAGGTGAATGGAGATAATATTGAAAAATAAAAGTACAAACGTTTTTCTGCCACTTGGTGTTATATTGAAGTTGCAAAATATATTGAACGTCCCTTGTATCACAGTATTGATAGAAAGTCATCATCACTCTCACCAGTACTCGCTGTCACATCTCTCCCATTCTAAACTCTCTACACTGGCTCCGTATTCGTGAAAGGATTGATTTCAAGATTCTTTGCCTCACCTACCAGTCTTTCCACAACTCAGGACCTTCCTACCTTCAAGACCTTCTGACACATTACTCTCCAGAAAGAACCCTGCGCTCATCACAACAACTGTTACTTGCTGTCCCGAGCTACAATCTCAAATCATTTGGCTCAAGGACCTTTTCATATGCAACAGCTTCTCTGTGGAACTCTCTCCCTATCGAGTTAAAATCATCTCCTTCCCTAAGTACATTCAAAACACGACTAAAGACTCATCTATTTCTTCGCTACAAGTGACTTCCAATCATCCGTACCTGCCAACTGTATATAGTTTTAACTTGAGCTCAGGAAGCGCTTTGAGCATATCTCTGTAACGTGGAAAGGCGCTATATAAATGGCCTATTATTATTATTATTAAAGTTGATAGATTTCATTGACAGCTACATCATACATATAGTTTTCACGATCCGACTTTCCTATTGCTACAGTCCATGTACCACGCACAACAACGGACCATGTCTCATGCAAGACCAGCTAAGCTCTATATGCGGTCATTGTAATACTGCCAATTCACAGGCAACGGATCAACACACAAATATTTGTTGACACATCCACGATAAGTTGTGGACGAAGTGCCTGAGCATTAACAAATGGATGTTTATAACTGATTTCAATCAATCCTCAATGATTCTTTTATTTGTAATTATGAAAAATTATGTAGATACTGGCTATGCTACTTGTATGAATTGTGCCCAGGTGAAGATTTCTCTGGAGTATTTCTCCCACGATATATCCTGGCACTACCTCTCTCAACAACAGGAGGAGGCACAGCTTCATCTCTACTGGTTAATAGCAGGTAGGTTGGCGAGTCGCTACTGTTGCTAGCGGGTAGGTCGGCAGACCTCTACTGTTGGCAGCTGGTAGGTCAGCAGACCTCTACTGTTGCCAGCTGGTAGGTCGGCAGACCTCTACTGTTGATAGCGGGTATGTCGACAGACCTCTACTGTAGCGGGTAGGTTAATAGATATCTACTGTTGATAGCAGGTAGGTTGTTAGGTCTCATTGTTGATAACGGGAGGGTTGGGAGACCTCTACTGTTGATAGCGGGTAGATCTCATTGTTGATAACGGGAGAGTTGGGTCATCTCCATTGGCTGAGTGGGTGGAGAGCTCTCTGTTGGTTGATATGGGTAAATTTGGAGATGCCTTTTGATTGAGGCTCTCGGAATCTCGATACAGATAGAGGATGCTATAGCTACAGGTGATCTCCGTTGATAACAGAATATGTCTGGTGTTTGATTATATCCCGTTAACATTTTCTGTTAAAGCATGGACGAACCTTCCCCGACAGGTGTTAGGATCTTTCTGTTCAACCTGTCAGATTCGAGATATTTAAGTTGAGGATCATATGTTCATACATAGGACTAGTTCCTCTCACTTGACTACTGGTTTGGATCAAGTCACTTCCCTGGTTTTGTAGATGAAACACATACACAGAAATAGTTCGTGTACCTACTTGTCAGCTGTACAGATCCAGTCGATCGTGTGCTTAGAAGTGCTTGAAGGTGATATGCAAATTTTGACATTTCAGATCGATACTACTGGGATAGTTACGACACGGAGAATGTGATGGAGGCAGTGTTTGCTATAGCTAATATAATCAGCTTCACTAGAGTCAGCTACATCTTCCCAGCTGATGAGCTTCTGGGTCCTCTTCAGATCTCTCTGTCTCGAATGGCCACGGTTTGTACTGTGATGATCAACAACTCAAAACATATACTGTTATCTTTTTCAAATTGCAACCTGGTAAAACTGCTGTGGACCTATATCAGTAGATGATGTAAAGACATCGTTATCCAGACCTGGGCGATCGGAGCGGAAACTGTTAAGATTAACGAACTTCTGAAATACGGAATGTTAATACTACGATGTTCATCATATGTATATAGATGGTTTCGAGACACTTATCCCTATAACAGGGATTCTCTTTAACGGGTTCAACTATATTTGCTTAAGAAACTTATTTGGAATCTTTTCCTTGAAGGAGATCAGAATCTGATCCCATATGAGTTTCGCGAAACACTTACATTCCTGTCGAAGGAATGTTTAGAACAACCTTCAAGCCTTTGTCTCTTAGTCCTCAACTTAGTAACTGCTTTAACTGCAGTTACTCTTGTGGAATTGTTTTGTAAGGTGTTTTGTTGGAAAATAGAAAATAATCATGTGCTAATTCATAGGTGTTTATATCTGTAGCTGGTTCCTCAATTTTTCTGCAGGATATTATGAAGTTTGTGGTTATATTTATGGTGTTGTTCATGGCCTTCTTTGTGGGCCTCCATAACCTGTACTGGTACTACCCACCTACAACACGCATGGCTTGGGAACTCACCTCACACAACATCACCACGAAGGCCGAGAAACACTTTGGCTTGTAAGTATACGCAAGCAGCATTTATGCATTTCGAAAGGCTTGGTTGAACAGCTGGGCAGCAGCTTCAATACTGCAGAGGAGTCCAGTACCATTATATTTAATCCAGGACACGTACTTTTCTAACCCAGAGAATCATTCATGTAAAAAAGTGCTCAAAAGAAAGAGTACAGTGTGTTTGACTAAACTTGACAAGATGAGAAAAGCAAATACAATGAACAAACAAATTCAATAGAGTATTCAATTATACAGCAAATGTATACAATTTAGTCAAAAGTACCGTTTGACAGACACTGAAAGACACGTGGTATCATAGTTTGAACTTTTACACAAATCAGCAAAACGTTTTTTTCTGCAAAATGCCATCAAATGTTGAATCAATAGTGAGTGTGACCACCGTTGGCTTCAATACACGCCAATACACGTCGACCCATTGATGACGTAAGGCGACAAATGATGTTGGGCATGATCCATTGCCATTCCTTGACATTGTTCCAGTTGTTGAACGGTGACAATTGGCGCTGGTAGTCTTTTGAGGTGTCGATCCAGGTAGTCCCATAAGTATCCTATGGGGTCGGGAGAATATGCTGGCCACGGCAAAACAACGATGTGAACGAAACGCAGAAAGTCCTTTGTCAGTCTTGCTGTATGAGGCCTTGCGTTATCGTGCTGGTAGACAATTATGTGCTTGTTGCTAGATAAATGGAAACGCAATTCGGCGCTAAATGTTCACCTTCTCATCTGTAAACACGAACCCGGCCATCATTACCGTAAGGCAAAACCAACTCTCGTCGGTGAACATCACACGTCGCCAATCACGCATCTGCCAACGTCGAACTCGCCTGGCCAATGTCAATCGACGACATCGATTTTGAAGAGTCAGATGCAATCCGTGATAGGGTCGACGTACTCGAATACGATGTTCTCTTAGTCGCCAGTACACTGTTTGTCGACTGATACGGTGTCGCCGTTACAAAACGATTTTTCAGATGAATCGTCCTGATGTGGCGATCATCAGCGTCGAGCACTCCTAAGCTTGTCTGACGTATTGGGGTTGTGGTTAGCTCCTTGTTGGGCTCTCTCTCTTTCAATTTGCCTCAAATGTGGCATATGCTTGTGTTCATTTTACTACTGCGTTGCTCACCTGTGGCGTAGGCTGTTTTATACCGTCAGTATGCACTTGCATTACGTTTTACGTGAGAAAATGTCATGTTTGATTTTTTGCGACGTTTAGGCGATTGCGACGTTTAGGCGACGTTTAGACGTTTAGGCGATTAACTTGCTTCGGCGGTTGGGCCTGTGCGTGTGTTACGTGGCTCAGCATAGTTTATCATTTCATTTCTGTTGTTATGTAAGTTTATGTCATATTTGGCGGTGTATAGTAAATGTTTTGAGCACTAGTTTTATTCGGGAAGTTTTAATTAATGTCCAAAGCCGTTAAAGTATTTACTATGTTATATACATTTCCTTTTTGTACCAAACTATTCGATTGCTATTATCTTAAGTAATTATATTTAGAGACCGTCCATAATTTATGACTAGGGAGCTGATAATGATTTTTATGCAGAAGCATGTATAATTTGAATGCCTCCCCCCTAAAATGTATGTACAAAGTAAGTGACCCCCCTTGCATGTCATGTACAAAATCAATGAGCCCCCTCCCAATATGTTTAAGCATAATTTTTTAAATATGTTAGTATGTACAAAATTGCTGCCCCCCAGTAGACGTGTACAAAAGTGGTGACCCCTCCCTCCCCCAGAACAAAGGGGTACCCCCTTTAAAATCATCATCATCACACACACACACACACCCTTGTGTGTGTCCCTTATTGTACGAACTTGTGTAAATGTAAATTCATTTCATTTGTAGACATAATCAAACTTTTATGACGGTCTTTTGGGCAACGCTCGGACATTCGGACAATACGGCAGTTGAACTTGGGGAATTCCAAAATGTTTTCACTGAAAACGTAGGTTATTGGATATTCGGGGCCTACAACATCGCTATCGTCATCGTCCTGCTAAACATGCTAATTGCCATGATGACCCGATCCTTCGACATCATCCAGGTCAGTTGTTGGTTTGTTGGTGAGTGTGTTTTTGGGACACAGCAATATTCCAGCTATTTTATGGCGGTCCGTAGATATTCGAGTGTGGACTGGACGGTGAAATGCACGACGGCATGAGCATCGATCTACGCCACTGGGATATGATGACATGCATCCACCAGATAACCTGATCCCATTAGTAGCCTTTGTCGACTCGCCCACATATATGTAATACTGAAATTGCAATGTCACATAAGAAAGATAAGTGCGACAATACACTACTAACCATGCCTGGGGAACTGTGACATGTAGTTTCCCTGGTATTAGAGGACCCGTGAAGGTCAGGGCTAGAATGAACCTTCAGTAACCCATGCTTGTCGTAAGAGGCGACTAACGGGATCGGGTGGTCAGGCTCGATGGCTTGGTTGACACATGTCATCGGTTCCCAATTGCGCAGATCGATGCTCATGCTCTTGATCACTTGATTGTCTGGTCCAAACTCGATTATTTACAGACCGCCGTCATATAGCTGGAATATTGCTGAGTGCGGCGTAAAACTAAACTCACTCACTCACTGTATTAGAGGCCTTAGGACTTTAACACAATTGTTGACTAATTTTTAACTAAAGTGTTATACTAGTGTTAGATATGAGACATATCTGACTCCGATGCACTATTTTCGAACCATGTAACACTGACAAAGTATTTTAGTACAATTCTGTTTTTAAGTTCCTTATTATGTACATATTTATCACATGACATGATTGGAGCAGGTAAACAGGTAAAGCTTATGCCAGGTAGGGATGACATTCACAGCTTCCTGGAGAGATTCGTTCCAGTCTTTAGACTCATCAATAACTTCCCCTAAACTCAAGTTTGCCCAAGACCCAGTTTCATTTTGCATTATAGAAGCCACATATGCTATCATCTTTGACGCATGGAATCCGGCATCATCAAACCTCGACACAGAGATTTGGTGGTTCTTTTGTGTCCATGATTATATAATGCGTATCGTAAGATCCCCTGTTAACATGACTTGGGGGAGAGGTTATAGTGAAAACATCTAAGTACTCTTGCTAACTCTTCATTGATGCCTTAAGTATTTTTGTGTACCCCTCTGATAAGTGTTATTTGGCACGGCTGCCATGGCCGAAAGCTTTGATTACACAATGCCATTTAGAAATTGGTCAAATGTAACAAATTCTAGTACCCTTGTGTCATGTAAGTCGCTGTCGCTGAATTTTCATAGTTATATTCATGTAATCTTATTTTCAAATCTCTTACCTCTAAACTTGTTTATTTATGTCAAACATTTCCAAAATCCAGGTATTTTTACTGCTTTTCACAATCGCAACATGGCCGCCCTCTCACTGTCAACACAAGTGACCCAGAAAGCTACGTCAAACAAGTTCGATTATATGATTGGCTGGCTTGTCGCGTAAACAGGATGACTTGTATGAACGATGTCTTGTGTCAAATTCAGAGTTAGAGCAGTCCCAAGTAATTTTATGGTATTTATGTCCATGAAACGTTCATTTTATGTTTCAATACTTCTAAAAACGATGAAAAGTCACAAATATTCAGGTTATATAGAAGTATTATGCAGAGAATTATTCTTCAGGCTCATCGTGACGGGCATCAAACCTCAGTATGTAGTCAAACACCACGAACTGGCTTGCAGAATCGTAAATGTGTTCTGTGCTGACATGTAGGATGGGTACATTGTGCCCAGGTTGTATTTATCAATAAGGCAATAGCTCGAACATCATCAGGTACAAATTGACGGAACCCACACACTCAGAGTCAGGCACCTAATCGCCAGCACACAAAGTCAGCCGCCTACCCCAACAAAAGAACTAGAATTTGTGCTTTACTAAGAAAGTGTAATCCCAAATATAACATATGTTACCCTTTATCAAGTGTTGACAATTTCATCAAATCATATACGAATGCCTGTTACTTTAGCAGCATCGTTTTATATATTTTACTGCCGCGTGGTGCAATAGGGTGCTGTAACCGACAGTCCATCTGTAGTGAATGAAGCGGACCTATTTGGGGACCAAAGTGGTAATGCATCGTGTCGGCAGCAGAACGAAACAAGGGAAACCGATTCTCTGAGCATTTGTAAGGCATCTACAAAGATGGATTTATACTTGTTTCATGTCAGTTTAGAATATTTCTATCAGACGGCAGGTGTTATTTCATATACATAACTTTACTTAACTTAAAGTAAACCGAGACTATTTTCATGTAACTGACGAGTGAAAGACGCGCTCCTGCAATAGTTTGTTATATGTAATTTGTGGTTGGGTAATTATGTATAAAACTAAATGAATTTGACTGACCCAAGAAATGAGAACTTGCAATAAGGTGATCCCTACTGTAGTATTCTCAATGAGTTGTACAGCCTATATTATCTCCGTGATAACTTTATGTGGATCACGTGACTTGTGTGCTACGTCAGAATAAAGCGGGTGATTGGAACTACTCGCATGTCGTGTTGTCCCTTGTGTGTGTCGACAAGAGAGCCCATGAAGATACTACAATGGCGACGAGGATGGGATCTGTCGTATTGCCTCAAGGGAAGGTGATATACACACGCGACATGAACTATGTTAGTGATACGAACTCTCACTAATTGGTGGAACTTTCAAACAGTACTTTGAGTGAGAACTTTTGCACTTGTGTCGTGAAGACGCCATTTATTCCCGTGCATCACATGTATCTCACCTGTCAGTGTCACGGTATGTCGCAAGTCTGCTTTACAGTGGAACTACAGTCCTCCCACCTCCTACACCATGTCTACAGTATGTTTTCAACATGAACATTTGTCATCATGAACTGGATATTGAGAACATTTTCCATATTTTGTCTAGTCGCACTTGCCTTGACATTCACAAACTTTGACTTTTTCAAATTGTGTCAACAGTGTATAGCCGATATGGCTGACCCTGAACCTGTCGCAGCACCTGTGAACACTATAATCTACATTTACGTCCTCCACCAGCTCTAAATATGAATTCCACTGATCTGAGTAATGAATTTACGGTCTGGATGGAATCTTTCTCTATTTATGAGGTTGCTAGTAGTCTAGAGACGCAAGGGGACAAGGTTCGAAGGGCTACTTTGTTGCGTTGTCTAGGTACTCCATGTCAAAGAATATTTCTTACATTGCCAGGTCAGAAAGATACGTATGATAGTGCTAAAGCTGTTTTGAGTGCATATTTCAATCCAAAAAGAAACGTTGTGGCAGAACGTTATAGATTTCGTTATCGAGCACAAGGGTCAGATGAGAGTATTGATAATTATGTTACTGATTTGAGAGAACTTGCCAAGACTTGTAATTTTGGTGCTTTGCATGATGAGATGATTAGAGATCAGATTGTTGAGAAATGTGCATCGAAACATTTGAGAGAGAAACTTCTGCTGAAAGATGATTTAACTCTAGATTCTGCTCGTAAGGTTGCAAGGCTTTATGAGATGGCTATGGAAAATTCTAAGGCTATTGCAAGAATTTCTGTTTATATAGTTGATTTTAACTTTACTCAGTCTGGTAATCAGCCGTATAACCGGTGTTACAGATGTGGTTTTTCATATCACAAGGCTTCCGATTGTGGTGCTATCAATGCTAACTGTCTGTTCTGTAAAAAGAAGGGTCATCTGGCTAGGGTATGTAAAGCTAGACAGTCAGGTGGTAGTTCAACCTCATGTAGTAGGTCTAGTTCTACATCAAGGTTTCAATTAGGTAAGTCAGTTACTGATAAGCAAGGTCATTCAAAGCAGAAGGCTGGTAGAAAGAAGAAAAAGGGTGGTAAGGTTAAATTTCAGCAACAGAATGATAAGCAGAAATTGAATGCAGTGTTGATTGATGAGACATGTTCTGAGTCAGACAGGATGATTGATGATGGTATTATTGAAGAAGTACATCATGCTACACTTTGGGTTTCAAATATATATTGTGTTCCGAAACCAAATACTTCTGAGATTAGAGTTTGTTGTGATTTACGTGAGGTCAACAAGGCTGTTGTTCGTGAGAGGTTTCCAATTCCTACTGTAGATGATACACTCTATGCTATGAAGTCAGCACGTTACTTTGCCAAGCTTGATTGTAAACGGGGATTCTGGCAGATTTTATTGGAAGAGGATTCTAGAGATTTGACAAGTTTTGTTACACACAGAGGTATATTAAGATTTAAAAGACTTCTTTTGGGTTTAAATTCAGCTTCTGAAGCATATCAAAAGGCTATGAACTATGTTTTCCATGATATTTCAGGTTTGGAGAAATATATTGATGACTTGATTTGCTATACAAATTCTCTAGAAGAACTTGAAATTTTGCTAAGAAAAGTTTTCAAAAGATGTAGAGAGTACAATTTAATGCTCAACAAGGACAAGTGTAAACTTGGCATGACAGAGAAAGAGGTTCTAGGACATGTAGTTTCTTCTGAGGGTGTTAGACCTAATCCTAAGAAGGTATCAGCTGTTGAACTAGCTAATCCTCCAGGAAATGTTTCAGAGTTGCGTTCATTCTTAGGAGTGTGCAATTACTTGTTGAAGTTTATTCCTGGTTTTGCAGATCTTTGTGAGCCATAACGTCTTATTTCACTCCTCTAGAACTGGAGTGAAATGGAAATGGGACGATGTTTGTCAGTCAGCATTTGTATCTTTGAAGAAGGCTATTGGTAAAGCCACATGTTTAGCTTTCTATGATGTTGAGGCTCCAACTATTTTGGTTAGTGATGCTAGTCCAGTTGGTTTGGGTTCAGTTTTACTTCAAGAGCATGGTGATGGTAGTTTTCAACCTATTGCGTTTGCTAGTCGTTCTTTGACAGAAACTGAGCGTAGGTATTCACAAATAGAACGAGAAGCTTTAGGATGTATCTGGTCTGTGGAACATTTCCATAAGTATCTTTGGGGAAGGAAGTTTGTATTACAAACTGATCACCGTCCGTTAATCCACATGCTTACTCAAGAGAAAGCCCCTAGAATTCAAAGATTCGCTTGGAAGTTACAGGGATATGATTTCCAAATTAGACACATAGCTGGCAAATCTAATATTGCAGACTTTTTCTCAAGACAATCTTTATCATCAAAGAAAAGTGACAATGTGGCTGATTATTATATCAGATCTGTGGTTGACACATGTGTGCTAGATATTGATTCAATTACACTGGATGAAATCAGAAACTGTTCATCAAGAGATGGAGAAATTGTGAAAGTATTAAGTGCTTTAGAAACAGATGACTGGAGTGATGTGTCAGTGCAGTATCTGAAGTTCAAGAACGAACTCTCAACGTATGATTCTATTCTTTTGAGAGGAGAGAGAATAGTGATTCCTCGATCACTAAGGTCGAAAGTTTTGAGTATTGCTCATGAGACACATCAAGGCATAGTACGCACTAAACAATTCCTTCGGACTAGATTCTATTGGCCAAATATGGATTTTGAAGTGGAACAACTTGTTAACAAGTGTACAACCTGTGTTCTGAATCAACCTTTAAGAAATGACACTCCATTACAACCTGTAGATCCAGCTCCGAGGCCTTGGTCGAAAGTCGGTATAGACATCGTATGACCTATTGACTCAGCCTACGTGTTAACGTTGATAGACTTCTTTCTTCATATCCATTTGCTGTGGTGATTAAAGACATTACATCAAGTGCTATCACTGAAGTTTTGGAAAAAATATTTTCTGAACATGGTTTCCCAGAAAGCATAGTTTCAGATAATGGTCGTCAATTTGTGAGTGCACAGTTTGTGAAATATTTGAGAATGGCACGGATTGAACATATTCGTTCTTTGCCATATTTTCCCAAGAGCAATGGAAAGATTGAACGTTTCCACAGATTTCTGAAGAAAGCATTCCGTTCTGCATCAACTGATGGGAATGACTGGAAACGACAATTACCGAGAATTCTACAAATGTATAGAGCTACTCCACATCGAGCTACTGGTGAAACTCCAGCCATGTTATTGTTTCATAGGAACATTAAAACTAAATATCCAGTACTGTGTTCATCGAAACCTGATCCATTATTATCAAGAATACTCTGTTATGCAGAGAAGATGAAGACATATGTAGATGTGAAGAACAGTGTAAGACATCATACGTTTAGTGTTGGTGATAACTCCAACGTACAAACCTGTAAAACATGTGATCATCAACAGGAAACAACGTGATACATTCCAGATCGTGAACTGTGATGCAGGTGTTATCAGTGTAAGAAATGCTAAATTTCTTAGACATGCTCCATGTGAGGATCCAGTGAACTTTGATAATGTTGAGATTCCTGAAGATATGATTCCGAGAAATTTGGTATTAGACAGAACTGAGTCACAAGTACAAGCAACTTCAGTACCTACAGAGAACTCTACTGTTCAACAAGATAAATTGTGTGCTGATTTAGCTGTAGATCTCAGTACTAATGTGACTGAACCTGAAGAAGAAAATGAACTGAGTGGATCTGCTACTCAATCAGCAGATACTGCTTGTTTAAGAAGATCTCAAAGGACTCGTCGTGCTCCTGCATATTTGAGAGACTATGTAAAGAAATGAACATTTAAATATTCTATATTACCGGTAAGTCATTATGATTTATCATTATGGTGACTTGTGTAATTATGAAAGTGGGATATGTTTGATGGTATATTTATTTGTTGAACCATATTACTTATTACATGTTTGAATGGTGGTAGATTTTAATATTTTCAAAATTAATATTTGAAAATAATTGGTATTTTCAGTACTAACTGTGGGAGGACTGTAGTATTCTCAATGAGTTGTACAGCCTATATTATCTCCGTGATAACTTTATGTGGATCACGTGACGTGTGTGCTACATCAGAATAAAGCGGGTGATTGGAACTACTCGCATGTCGTGTTGTCCTTTGTGTGTGTCAACAAGAGAGCCCATGAAGATACTACGCCTACCATGTTTGAGATCGAAATTTACGTCAAAAAAGTAAATTGTATTCATCTTCCAAGACGAGATGCTCAAGATACCCATTGTTATTTTTCCTTTTTTTCAATTCTTACAAGTTTGAAAGTAACTGTAAAACCATGCCCATGTATTCTAAGAGTGCTCAATGCTACTACAGTTATCTAAGTAAACATATGCCACTATCAACTGATAGTTTTGTTTGTTTGTTTCTCTGTTACAATGCCGTGGAAATAGGGTACACTATCATCGCATAGGCTTTTATTTCTCACTCTCTTTGACACTGTGTGAGCATAATAATGTAGTTAGGAGCAGCTATATGTCACTCAATATCTCATACAAATGTCCTGGTTCATATCTTGGGGTCAAATCTGACCTTCTGAACAACGGGAGAATGCTATACCCCAACTGCATTTAAAATTGAGATATGACTGAGAAGAATGAGCTGAAGAAGTACGATTTCTTACAAGCCAAATAAAGTAAAATCCCTCTGTTACTGTTGGCTAAAATACTTTACATGGCAAAAGAGCTCACATAAGCATGATGACCCAACACCCAACACAGTTTCTGTTATCAGAGAATCATGATGTCACGAGGAAAGACAATTTCGTCATGTTTGTTTTCGTAGAGAACGATATTAGTGTACATGTACAAAGGCAACTTGTGATGAAACTAACGGTAGTTTTTCGTGTTAATGTAGATGTCTTTAGAACTTTATTTAACACCTTAAAGCATTGACTGTAGAAGGAACATCAAGTTTTACAAATTTATGCATTCTTTAAACAATAATGTAAGAGGCGCATAAGCTGTAAGCTGGCTGTTCGCTAATGTTTTTATCCCATTCTGAATTGATTATGCATTACATCAGCAAAGCGTTTAAGAATATTTGGTGGTTCTGTTGTCACAGTCGGAAGCCGACACGGAGTGGAAATTCGCCCGCAGCAAACTGTACATGGAACACATAAAATCCGACTGCGTCTTGGCGATCCCCTTTAATCTTATCCCTTCGCCAAAGACCTTGCTCCATCTGGGCCGCCGTATTCGGGACTGTCTCATTCCCAAGGACGACCCTGAACCAATGTACCAGGGGCGAGTAAGGGATGCGGAGATGTTTCAAAATGTTGCAGCTTTACCGGTACGACCATTATCACTGATGGTGTCATTAGAATTGTTTTTGTTTTGTATTGCTCAGTTGGAGTATTGTTACATTTATCATAATTTACTGTCGTCGTCGTTGTCGTCATCATCATCATTAAGATCATCATCATCATCACCATCTTCATGAACATCATCATCATCATCATCATGATTATCATCATCAGCAGTAGTAATGGTATTTTATGGTATTTATCATCTCCATGCTAAGCTTCAGAGGTATCGGTCGTTTGGAAGAATAAAATAAAATATGAACTACTATTTTAATATATAACTGTCTGATTGAAAATACTACTGATCATCAAGTTTGCTGCTGTTTAAAATGTTTGTGGTATCATGGGTGAGAGCTTAAAGACTTTCTGCAACTGTCATGACTTTGAACACAGCTCCGCTTTTTGAAAGACAAAACATTGGATTCCAGGGAGTAATCGTGTGTATTCAACCAGGTGAATGGGTCAATATATAGATGTGAGGGTTTTTCCTTTTAACGTGGTGGTTATGAAGGACCGGATCGGAGTCGCTGAGAACCACACCAGACCCAACCTAATCAGTGTTTGTTGTTGACAGGGGCGTCGACCCATTGCGATGACTGCATCTAATGAGGTAAGGGACGTGGGATCAGGCATCGAGACCTTCCGCATGGGTTTGTCCACCTCTCTCGTCCGCAATGACACCGTCGACAGTTTCGCCAATGGCAAACTAACATACAAGGTATAAACACTAGGAGGTGTGTTTGTTTGTTTGTTTGTGTGTTTGTTTGATGTTTGTTTAACGCCACACTCAGGAATATTCCAGCTATGTGACGGCGCTCTGTAAATGATCGAGTTTGGACCAGACAATCCCGTGATCAACTGCATGAGCGTCGATCTACGCGACTCAGCGAGCCTGACCACCCGATCCCGCTAGTCGCCTCTTACGAAATGCATGTGTTGCAATTCTAACCAGAATCTTCACGGGTACAAGGAAATATGATTTGACGCGGAACAGTTAATGCAAAGTACATGTCGGTAGATTGAAGAACTGTGATGTTGTTTGCAAGGTGATCACATTTCGAATTCTGCATTTGCACAGTTCTTGAAACAAGCGGTACTTTCTTAAGTTAGTCCCAGGATATATAAGTAACAAAAACAAATAAACAAATAAAGCGTGGTTAAAAACATGATGAGAGTACTAATGTGAATGAAATTCCTACATACGTTTTAATGATAAAATTATTTAGATTCGTTACTTGTCTTAGTAACCGTTTCACAGTGTCATTTGCTTGTACCGCGTGCCATAGTAAGAAAATAGCAATACCGCGATAATAGAGAGTCACTTCAATTTCTGGGTCAAACGAGGCAATCGGCATTGCAGCAATCGTATAGAACTAGTTGTGACTATGTGACACATTATTTGGGACAGAAATGAAGATTAAACATCAGTCAACTGAAAATATCTATAAAATGCCAGATGTCAGCAGGCGTGCATAATGCCGATGGCAACAACATTAATTACCGCGATAATAGAGGGTCCCATGATAATTAAGTTTATATTAGTACTAGATTTCTCTACCTTTGTCACCATATTGATCAGAAATATACTGAACAACATTAGAAACGCACCACCTATATAATACGAAATTTCCCCATCAGACTAAAATGTATGATATCTGAGCAGCGTCGGTGCATTTTAGTGTGGTGCATTTCTAATGTTGTTCAGTATAGTTAGGTTTCCATCCTGCTGCTGTCCTGTTTGAGTTTGGTGCGTTGTCACTGTCTGTGCTTGATTAGCTGTCATCACTGGGACTAACAGCGATGTCAAGTCAAAGGTGTTTTATTGTATCAAAGGCCATCAGCCCATATACATGTTTACGTAAATACACTGGTTGAGAATATACCGATTAGTAGATACAGTGGAAAAGATAAAAACATTCATTTAACAATTGGTGGTTATCAGAGGACTTTTTAGAGTCAGGTAAATCTGAAATCCCATTCAACAAGTTATTTCTTAGGTTTACAAATAGAGATAATTTAAATATTACATCTGCATCATTCGATGACAAAATATATACTAGCCACATAAAGAAACTGTGCATTGTCAAAATATTATTCCAGTTGATAAGTACGATAAAAATGTCAAAGGTACATATAAACTTTAATGGAGGGATCATGAGACCATAACAAGTCGGGAGAATTTCAATTGAAAAATAAATCACAATTCCCAAACATGCTCCATCGGGAAGAGATCCGGTGAATTTGCAGGCCAAGGCAGTAAGTCAACGTTGTGGTCTTGCAAGAAATCTATAGCAACCCTTGCCGTATGAGGGTGGGCATTGTCCTGTTGGAATGTTAACCCAGGGCCATGACGTTGCAGAAAAGGAATTGCCACAGGTCGAAGAATCTGATCCCTGTAGCCCACACCAGTTAAGTTGCCCTGAACAATCACCAAAGGAGTTCTTTGGCGTGCTGTTATTCCACCCCAAATCATCCCGGAACCACCACCAAAGCGATTCCTCTCCAAGACACAGGTCTGTGCATAACGTTCTCCCATGCGTCTATAGGCACGTTGACGTCCATCACTATGGGAAATATTAAACCTGGACTCCTCTGAAAAAACAACATTTCTTCACCAAAACAAGGGTCTGTGGACATGATTTCGGCACCACATTCGGCGAGCTTGTCGATGACGTTGTGTCAGGATAGGCCGTATGGCGGGACGTCGTGGTCTGGTCCCGTGATGACGTAAACGTTGTCGAACTGTGTTGGGGTGGATACGACGAAGTCCTGGGATGGTTCGGGCAGTCATCACTGCAGTCTGAAACCTGTGGCGAAGATGGGTCACCCTTATCCATATGTCCTGTCTTGGCGTTGTTACACGTGGACGTCCAGAACGTGGCCGATCGATGACGTCATTTGTGTTCTGGTAGCGTCTCACCCCAGTGCAGAAATGGTGTTCCGGTGGCTGTGGAAATGTGCAGCCACTTGTCGGTGAGACATTCCCCCACGGACCATCCCATTGGCCTCATGACGTTGTGCAGACGTGAGCCTTGGTATGCTATGCGTTTCAATAGCCGTTTAATTTTTTGAACGATCGCAAGGGCAGGGATTGAGTTTTCCAACGTGACCGTATTGTGTGGCATTCATTTGCTCTGTTTCTCTTTCCCGGAATGCACGTGCAACAACGTATTGCACGTCTCAAGGACGAACCCACTGACGTTACGAAACGTGGCACGTGCATGCATGTTGGATACATGTCACTAATCTCTGAGTTTATATTCTTATGTGTCTACACAGGTTTGATAAATTCAGATTTTTGTATGCACAGTTTATTTATGTGCCTAATATAGAAACAAACCCTACTCTACTCAACTTAGATGAGAAACGTTCTGGAATATATTTAGTTGGTATTTCTGCATAATAAGGACATTCAAATGTAAAATGTATTTCGTCTTCTATAGCAGAGTTACAGAATGGACAAATTCTTTGTATTCTTTCAAGTGATATATTCCGTCCATAATTAATCATTAGTTTTGACAGGCCAAGTCTGTATTTAATATATATATTTCTTAGGTTACCATATATTAAAACTAATAAATATTTTTCTGGCTCTAATAAAGTTTTAAACGTTTTGTAAAGATCATAACGTGAACTGTTTTCTAAGTTGGATTGCCGTCCTTGATAGAACATATTTATTGCTACTTTACGAAAATCATTTAGAAATAGATATAGATCGCCAACAGATTGATTTAACCATACAAACCAATATCCATGTGAGAATAATAGTGTCCTTATATGCGATACCCATGTAACCTTACCGATACTATCAAGATAAAAGAGCATGTTTTAAGCTATTTTCGGAAGCCGATGTTCTGGCATATGGGTGATATTAAACCAATATTTTAAAGACTTTATTTGCGAATTAATGTAATGTGGGTATCTTCCACATTCTCCATATATCATATTATTTGGAGTTGCTAATCCAACACAAAGAAACTTTTTACATGCCAGTAGGTGAATTCTTTCTAAACATTCAAATCTTTGGTAATCCCACACTTCGGATCCATACAATAGAATTGGTTGTATTTGGGTATCAAATAATTTGAAAAATACATTAGGTGTTATAACTCCAAGTTTATGCGAAACCGACATCATATTGAGTAAAGCTCTTTTCCCTCGCAGTGATAGGTCAGAAACACATTTGTCCATATTTAGTGTTGAATTAAACATTATACCAAGATACTTATAACCATTAACTACATTAATTCGTTGTCCATTTAAGCACCATCTCTCCTTAAAATTTAAAGGGCCTCCCTTTCTGAAAACTATAATTTCTGTCTTATCTAAATTTATAGATAAATTCCATTCCTTAGTGTATTTATCTAATACATTCAACTGATTCTGTAGACCAAGAACTGTGTCAGATAGTAAAATAACATCATCGGCAAAAAAGGAGCAAAGGATTTCTAGGATGTCAGGATACATATGTAAACCATGCTTACCGTTACTTGAAATTTCATGATACAATTCGCTAATGAAAAACGAAAATTCGGGCAATCGAAAAAATCAGTAACACCATAATCAATACGTAAACATGATTTGATATTTGAATACATTGATTTAGTATATTAAACATCTTCCCTTGTAGCCCAGCCTTTCTCAAACTACACCATAATTTATAACGATCAACTGTATCAAATGCTTTTTTAAAATCAATAAAAGCAACGTATAATTTGTGTTTACGACGTGATAAACATTTCTGAACTACAGCATATCAAGTAAAAATGTGATCTATGGTTGAATAATTATTTTTAAAACCAGCTTGAACTTCCGGTTTCTTATCTCTCATATTGGCCCAGTTAGTAAGTGTATTCTTTAAAACAGCAGTAAAAACTTTCCCAAGGACACTCATTAATGATATCCCCCTATAGTTGTCAGGGTCTCTCGGATCGCCATTTTTATGTAAAGGGACTATTTCTGAACAAGTCCAATTGCTGGGAAATATTTGTTTGTTGAAACATTTATGGAGAAATGGCATTATATCAAATTGGGAACATTTAAGCATCTCTATCAGCACTTGATCGGGTCCGGCAGATTTTCCGTTTTTTAACTTGTTTATTGATGATGTAATTTCATGTTCAATTATATTAGAATTTAGAATGAATGCACCAAAAAGATTTCATTTGCCTCATCCAAGTGAGGAGAAAAAACATTGTTATTTGCAAAAACATTTTTAAGATGGTAAAGCCATTCTGTTTTCGTTATAAGATTCTTCTGTTTGGGTTTGTTTTGTAATGATCTGATCTGTTTCCAAAAGCTAGATTGACTATTTATGCTTCTATGCAATCTTTCTACTGATTTTTTACATGAAATGGATTTAAATTTTCTGCAACAAAATTTATACTGATTTCTTTGTCTACAATATGCTATTCTGTTAGCGACAGTACTTTGTGTTCTAAATCTCCTAAGTGCCCTAAGTGTTTCTCGTTTCCCTTGTCTACATTCTAGATTTAGTGGGTTTTTATTATCAGCAGTTTGTGAACTATGTCGGACTGGCTTTTTCATGCAGCTAGCAGAGCCTGATACAATCTCGACAAAGTGACTAATTGCCTTTTCAATAGCATTTTCAATTTCTTTTAGGAGCATTTCTTTGTTTTCAGCAATCTTATATCTCATGTTATCAAGAAATATATTAGAATAAGAATCATTTCATACAATTTTCTCTGATGCTGTTGGATCCATGCATGAATCATTGTTACACGTATTACCAATATTTGGAAATTTACACATCAATTCTAGTGGGAAGTGATCAGAATCAGATCGATCACCGATACTGAACATATTGATGAACTGAAAAAAATCAGTTGAACATAAAAATAATCATTTACACTGGAGCCATGTATGCTGCAATAAGTAAATTCCCCATTAGTATCACCATAGACTCGTCCATTACGATGTAAAGTTTAAAAGCATAGCATAAATCCAACAACATTTTGCCAAATCCATTTACAACTGTATCCTGTGAAGTACAATCTTCAACAGGGTCATCCTCCTCATCAGGGAAAGGGGTAGTATGCCTGAGGGTATCGTCGTGATTGCTAATATCAGGGTTATTTTTCTCACCTGTTCTCGCGTTCATATCTCCACAGATTAAATTATATGAATTTGAAAACATTTCATTATTATCTAGCAAGAATTCTTCTACTTTTACAATATTACACTTGGTGGTTACATGGTTATAGTATGGTGGTTACATGGTTATAGTATTGTGGTTACATGGTTATAGTATGGTGGTTACATGGTTATAGTATTGTGGTTACATGGTTATAGTATTGTGGTTACATGGTTATAGTGTGGTGGTTACATGGTTATAGTATTGTGGTTACATGGTTATAGTATGGTGGTTACATGGTTACGGTTATAGTATTGTGGTTACATGGTTATAGTATGGTGGTTACATGGTTATAGTATGGCGACCCCGATGGAGGGATATAGGTACATAACAAATTCACATTTTTGTCAATTCTAAAAAAGTCTTTAAATAAGGAGAGACCAATTATGTTATCTCTTTCTGATTACATAACATTTATAGAAACTACTCAGTGTTTGACGTACACACAGACAAATACCACCTGATAAACGACCGTAGTTGGATAACTTAACTGCAGGACAATAGAAACCATGTAGCCAGTTGTTTCCTGGAATATTTACAACAAATGTCACACAGTATATATTAGTAAATTTCATATTGAGTCAAAAAAGAAACTTTACAAAATGTAATTTGAAAAATACTGAATACTTTTTCTCTGATGATACATCTATGTATCCAAAATGGGATCCCTGTCTTTCACGTCGATCACGTGATCTTCGCATTGAAGTTTTTCTTCATATGCACGTGTTTGCATTGGCCTCAAGAATTGAAAAAAACACTTTTAAACCACAGTTCTAACGTTACTTGAAATGCCACGATTGTCAAATGTGCAACGTGAACGTGCCGTTGGCATGTTGCAAGCGGGAAGAACAGTTATTGTCGTCGCAAGACCAATGGGATGCAGCCGTCGTACTGTGTATGACTTGCGAGGTCGTCTACAACAAACTACAACCACTTCTGATCGCCCAAGGTCGGGTCGTCCACGTGTGACGTCACGAGCAGAAGACCGTCAAATCGTCCTACGTCACCTACGTGACAGATTTCTGCCGGCTACACGAACCAGGGCTGAGATGTTTAGAGGTCGACTGTCCTCACAGACCATTCGAAATCGGTTGCGGGCTGCCAATCTCCATTCTCGACGTCCATATCGTGGGCAAATATTGACGCCGTTTCATCAACGTCAACGTCTGCTGTGGGCCCAACGTCACCTCCGATGGACCCAGAGAGACTGGAATCAAGTCGTCTTTAGCGATGAATCCAGGTTTACCCTCAGATTCGCGGACGGCAGGCATAGAGTCTGGAGACGACGTCGTGAACGGTATGCCCAATGTTGTGTACAGGAAGTCGACAGATTCGGGGGCGGAAGTTGCATGGTGTGGGGTGCTTTCTGTGGGAACAACCGTTCCCGACTTTTGGTCATCCGTGGAAACCTCACAGCTGCTGCTTACCGCGACCAGGTGCTCACCCCTGAACTCGTTCCTTTCATGGCGGCTCATGGCCTAGGTCTACAGTTCCAGCATGATAATGCTCGTCCGCATACCGCGATGTTGACACGAAATTTCCTTCAAAACGCTGGAATCAACGTCATGGACTGGCCATCGAGGTCCCCTGACCTTAATCCAATAGAGCACGTTTGGGATGCACTTGGGAGAAGGCTTCGTGGTCTTAGGAACCAACCTCAGAATTTGCAGGAACTTGGCGCTGCCTTGCAAGAGCAATGGCGCAGAATCCCCAACCCCGTGTTCACAAGCATCAGGCAGTCGATGAGGAGACGGTGTTTGGCAGTGGTGAATGCGCGGGGCGGCCATACACGATATTGAACTGAGAAATTTCTCATTTTTATTCTTGCGACTTGACATTCTGTATACCGATGTTTTCGAACGGCGGTGTAGCCTAATGGAACTGATTATGGCACTGTCAGTGTATCGAGTACATCACACAGATCTCAGCAATGAAATAATTACAATTTAACCATCTTACCATCTCTTGTTCTTTTATAGTGCCCTGAAGAAAGAATGTGAAGTTCTTTTTTGACTCAGTACAGGGCGCGACTTACTTCTATTTCGTCGAAGTCTGTCCGACATTCGGTCTCCTATATCTCGTGTAGTAGATCCACGTTGATCAGCCTACGTACGAGGCATCGTGACAAGCTTGCCATTCTGGAAGAAGCCGAATTTTCCCGTTCCTTTCAGGGCATGCAGTTGTTGGCGTTGACGCGTGGTTAAATGTCGCTCTGGCTTTCAATGTGCGTACCTTGTCGTCGGAGAGCACCAGTTTAGCAATTATTGGTCGTGGTCTGTCACTACCAGGCTTCTTCACACCGAGGCGATGGGCGCGCGCAACATCAGACGGTTGCCACGTTTTGAGTGTTGCGTTATCATTAAGTACACTGATTGCTTTTTCTTTACAAGATATCGATTTTTCGCCTTCATCTTCATCAATACCATAGACAATAATGTTGTCTGATCGACTAAATGACTCGAGTAATCGACTTCAGCGTCAATTTGTGAAAGTCTGTCATTAATGTAATCCACTTTCTCATCAACATCGACGTCAGAGCGTATTATGTGATTCTCAGGTTCAAGTTTGTTGATGTCAGATTTTCACACTTAGTTCCGATGCTTTTTACTTCCGTTCTTAGGTTAGAAATATCTTTGCCTAGCTCAGATTTGACGTTTCTCAGTTCGGTGGAATTGCTTCTTTAATTTTGTCAAGATCTTGTAAGGTTACAGGCCCGGGGTTTGTCTCCACGTCATTTGCACACGAATGTCTTTCCTAACACTCTCCCAAGAATAAGACTCTTTTTCATCATCTTTCCCTTAGTCTTTCCTTTTGCTTCATCAGCTTTTATCTTTTTCTCCGATAGGTCTGTAGTCTTGTTCTCTGCCTCAACAGTACACTGTGACAAATAACATAGAGGCGAATTTCAATTAAACAACTTACCACAGAGGGCAAAGACTGGGATGGGTTAGGCAATACCAACAACGGACTTGGCAAAATTGTGTTACACTATGTTTACAAAGGAATTGAGGTTTTGTCTCCAAATCACAGATGGCAGAAATCGTTCTCAGCGCCGAGCGGCAGAGGGATTGCTTCTCCATCATAGTCTTACATGTATCGCCCAACATAATGAACACGCCAGATATTGATATAATTATATGTCCGAGACTAATTTTAGAGACATCGTTATTACACTTTCACTATCATTTCACCAGTTCCATAATTTTTGTCCGGTTTTCGTTGGAGATCGGATGCGGACAAGGTTCCATCCGATTGCGATTCCTTCGCGTCCGAGTTTAAATGGGTGTGCGATCGACGCCTGTTTTCATAATTGTAGGTTTGGTAGGTTTGGTGAAGATAGGTTTGGTGTAGGCCTGCCGCCTTGTGATAATCGTTTGAAACTACACGCCTTGTGACTGTAGAAATGTATATATCCGCAGCAGCTTTAGCTGATGTGAATATGTCGGTACGTTACGTCAGTTGTGTGTTATATGTGGTGTTCCCGTGTGTTTTCAGCGTGTGATGAACAGAGTGATACGTCGGTACCTCTTCGACATGCAACACGGAGATGGTGAGTAGGAGGAGGATGTAAGTTATCATGAGTGTGTATGTCATCATCAGTGAATGATTGCTTCCTTATGACTGCATCGGCATCAACTGCATTAGACTTGTGAGTACATCTCCGCGTGGTCCTTGTAAATGACTGCATCATGATAGCTCCGTTTTAGTGACCTCATTTTTGTGAGTAGATCCTTGTGAATGTTGCATTATAAAGGTCTCATCCTTTGGAATGTCTGCATTCTAGTGGTCTCGTCCTTTTGAATGTCTGCATTCTACTGACCTCATTTTTGTGAATGTCTGCATCCTACTGACCTCATCCTTTTGAATGTCTGCATCCTACTGACCTCATTCTTGTGAATGTCTGCATCCTACTGACCTCATTCTTGTGAATGTCTGCATCCTACTGACCTCATTCTTGTGAATGTCTGCATCCTACTGACCTCATCCTTTTGAATGTCTGCATCCTACTGACCTCATTCTTATGAATGTCTGCATCCTACTGACCTAATTCTTGTGAATGTCTGCATCCTACTGACCTCATTCTTGTGAATGTCTGCATCCTACTGACCTCATTCTTGTGAATGTCTGCATCCTACTGACCTCATCCTTTTGAATGTCTCCATTCAAATGTCTGACCTCATCCTTGTGAATGTCTGCATTCTTGAATTTACCTCATTCTTGTGAATGTCTGTATACTTGTAAACTTATCCTTGCAAAAGACTGCATTCTAGTGACTACGTCTCAGTGACCGCATTCTTATAAAAGTCTGCATCTTAGTGATCTCACCCTGTGAATGCCTGCATGCCACTGACCTGATCCTTGTTGATGGCTACATGCAGCCATAATGTACATAACTGCATCCCGATGACCCCAAGGTTGTATCTAACTGTACCCCGGTGTCCCCTGCCTAGTGCATGACTGTGTTCTAGTAGCTTCATCCTATTTACTCCACCCCCTGTAGATGAACCGATTCCTTAAATCTACCAACTCTTCATGCAAGGTGACGAGGACGACACGAACCAAGACGTATCTAACTTCCGTCACGAGATTCTCACGACACTTCACGAGACAAGAAAGGAGGCGAGTGAAATGTATGAGGATATGAAAGAGAAGTTGGATCGAGTTGCCAGTGACCTTCTGGTTCTTGGTAAGGGGAAACCACCACTGAATCGCCAGTGAATCTGTAGATGATTGTGTTTCTGATTTTCAGGCTACATTCCTCGAGCCGACATAAAAGGCATTGTTTAATGTGTGGTTACAAAAACCAGTATCTAACTGCTTGACACATTTACTACACGATTTAAGGTTATAATCAATGGTTTCATATTGCTGTCATATTAATATCAACAAGTTAACCCTTGACCACACGTTTGGATAGTGTTATGGAATAATATTTGATTCTGATTAACTATGCTTTGAAAAATTCATCGTATGGCTCGTTAAATATAATTACATTTGCTATCACAGCATTTTGTGTGTTTTCATAGTTTTAAAATACTTGAGAGTTTTACCTTTTTGTATGATTTAATGTTGTTATTAAGTAGTTCCTGAGTCTGTATGGCAATCTTATATGGATAGAGCATGACTAGATTACTAGAGAGTGAATTAAAGTGTACGTCACCTGTGGCATCTTGTGAAGAGTTTGGCACGTTCAGAATAAAATATCTTAACGCTAAAATTTTATTTAGTTATTTGTTATTCAGAATTGTGCTAAACAGTGTATATTGCCATAATATGCAGCTGTAGAATATTACTGGAAATTTACTGTTACTAGACAACATTGACAAACGTGTGTCATGACAGACCGCACTTATGGCTTTCCCCCAACATCATCAAACATTCCATGTTGAATTCTTATTCGATAAGTTGGGCTGTGTTTGTCCACGTTGAAAAGCCACGCAACTCACACAGTACCCATGTAGGGAATCGAACTCGGGTTTTGGGCGTGATGAGCGAACGCTGTAAGCACTAGGCTACCTCAACCCAACCCCCAGCATATGTCAGTATCAGCTGTTGACCTTCCGTCCGGATGCCGTCGGTTCTAGGAAAGATCGATAAAACTTTGGGCCACTTCCATACTTGTTTGTCATGAACGTTGTCTGTGGAACCTATTTAAGGTAACATTCAGATTGATCACATGCGTGTTGATCCTTGGATGTCAAGCTAATTTCTTTGTACATCCAAAATAGATGTTGTATCCGTAGATTTGGATTACTAGATGATGACAAATAAGCATTACACTAACATTTAATCAGTCTACATATGTAGTCCTTCTAGTCACTCTCACTCCATTACACTAACATTGCTCCGCCACTAGTCACATGTAGTCCTTCTCCATCACTCTCACTCCATTACACTAACATTGCCACAATCTACCACATGTAGTCCTTCCGTCACTCATCACTCCATTACACTAACATGTAGCCTCAATCTGCCACATGTAGTCATGTAGTCTTCTGTCACTCTCACTCCATTACACTAACATTGCCACAATCTGCCACATGTAGTCCTTCCGTCACTCTCACTCCATTACACTAACATTGCCTCAATCTACCACATGTAGTCCTTCTGTCACTCTCACTCCATTACACTAACATGGCCACAATCTACCACATGTAGTCCTTCCGTCACTCTCACTCCATTACACTAACATTGCCACAATCTACCACATGTAGTCCTTCCGTCACTCTCACTCCATTACACTAACATTGCCACAATCTACCACCACATGTAGTCCTTCTGTCACTCTCACTCCATTACACTAACATTACCACAATCTACCACATGTAGTCCTTCCGTCACTCTCACTCCATTACACTAACATTGCCACAATCTACCACATGTAGTCCTTCCGTCACTCTCACTCCATTACACATCTACCAACCTTTTCCGTCACTCTGCCATTACACTAACATCTGCTACTACATGTAGTCCTTCTGTCACTCTCACTCCATTACACTAACATTGCCACAATCTGCCACATGTAGTCCTTTCTGTCACTCTCACTCCATTACACTAACATTGCCTCAATCTACCACATGTAGTCCTTCCGTCACTCACTCCATTACACTAACATTGCCACAATCTACCACATGTAGTCCTTTCTGTCACTCTCACTCCATTACACTAACATGGCCACAATCCTACCACATGTAGTCCTTCCTGTCACTCTTCCGTCACTCCATTACACTAACATTGCCTCAATCTACCACATGTAGTCCTTCTGTCACTCTCACTCCATTACACTAACATTGCCACAATCTACCACATGTAGTCCTTCCGTCACTCTCACTCCATTACACTAACATTGCCACAATCTACCACATGTAGTCCTTCCGTCACTCTCACTCCATTACACTAACATTGCCTCAATCTACCACATGTAGTCCTTCCGTCACTCTCACTCCATTACACTAACATTGCCACAATCTACCACATGTAGTCCTTCCGTCACTCACTCCATTACACTAACATTGCCACACCTACCACATGTAGTCCTTCCGTCACTCTCACTCCATTACACTAACATTGCCACAATCTACCACATGTAGTCCTTCCTGTCACTCTCACTCCATTACACTAACATTGCCACAATCTACCACATGTAGTCCTTTCTGTCACTCTCACTCCATTACACTAACATTGCCACAATCTACCACATGTAGTCCTTTTCCGTCACTCACTCCATTACACTAACATGGCCACAATCTACCACATGTAGTCCTTTCTGTCACTCTCTACTCCATTACACTAACATGGCCACAATCTACCACATGTAGTCCTTCCGTCACTCTCACTCCATTACACTAACATTGCCACAATCTACCACATGTAGTCCTTCCGTCACTCTCACTCCATTACACTAACATTGCCACAATCTGCCACATGTAGTCCTTTCCTGTCACTCTCACTCCATTACACTAACATTGCCACAATCTACCACATGTAGTCCTTCCGTCACTCTCACTCCATTACACTAACATTGCCACAATCTACCACATGTAGTCCTTCTGTCACTCTCACTCCATTACACTAACATTGCCACAATCTACCACATGTAGTCCTTCCGTCACTCTCACTCCATTACACTAACATTGCCACAATCTACCACATGTAGTCCTTCCGTCACTCTCACTCCATTACACTAACATTGCCACAATCTACCACATGTAGTCCTTCCTGTCACTCACTCCATTACACTAACATGGCCACAATCTACCACATGTAGTCCTTCTGTCACTCTCACTCCATTACACTAACATTGCCACAATCTACCACATGTAGTCCTTCCGTCACTCTCACTCCATTACACTAACATTGCCACAATCTACCACATGTAGTCCTTCCGTCACTCTCACTCCATTACACTAACATTGCCACAATCTACCACATGTAGTCCTTCCGTCACTCTCACTCCATTACACTAACATTGCCACAATCTACCACATGTAGTCCTTCCGTCACTCTCACTCCATTACACTAACATTGCCTCAATCTACCACATGTAGTCCTTTTCTGTCACTCTACTCCATTACACTAACATGGCCACAATCTGCCACATGTAGTCCTTCCGTCACTCTCACTCCATTACACTAACATGGCCTCAATCTACCACATGTAGTCCTTTTCTGTCACTCTCACTCATTACACTAACATTGCCACACTACCACATGTAGTCCTTCCGTCACTCACTCCATTACACTAACATGGCCACAATCTGCCACATGTAGTCCTTCTGTCACTCTCACTCCATTACACTAACATGGCCACAACCTACCACATGTAGTCCTTCCGTCACTCTCACTCCATTACACTAACATGGCCACAATCTACCACATGTAGTCCTTCTGTCACTCTCACTCCATTACACTAACATTGCCACAATCTACCACATGTAGTCCTTCCGTCACTCTCACTCCATTACACTAACATTGCCTCAATCTGCCACATGTAGTCCTTCTGTCACTCTCACTCCATTACACTAACATTGCCACAATCTACCACATGTAGTCCTTCCGTCACTCTCACTCCATTACACTAACATTGCCTCAATCTACCACATGTAGTCCTTCTGTCACTTCTCACTCCATTACACTAACATTGCCACAATCTACCACATGTAGTCCTTCCGTCACTCTCACTCCATTACACTAACATTGCCACAATCTACCACATGTAGTCCTTCTGTCACTCTCACTCCATTACACTAACATGGCCACAATCTACCACATGTAGTCCTTTCTGTCACTCTCACTCCATTACACTAACATGGCCACAATCTACCACATGTAGTCCTTTTCTGTCACTCTCACTCCATTACACTAACATTGCCACAATCTACCACATGTAGTCCTTCTGTCACTCTCACTCCATTACACTAACATGGCCACAATCTGCCACATGTAGTCCTTCTGTCACTCTCACTCCATTACACTAACATGGCCACAATCTACCACATGTAGTCCTTCTGTCACTCTCACTCCATTACACTAACATTGCCACAATCTACCACATGTAGTCCTTCTGTCACTCTCACTCCATTACACTAACATTGCCTCAATCTACCACATGTAGTCCTTCCGTCACTCTCACTCCATTACACTAACATTGCCACAATCTACCACATGTAGTCCTTCCGTCACTCTCACTCCATTACACTAACATTGCCTCAATCTACCACATGTAGTCCTTCTGTCACTCTCACTCCATTACACTAACATTGCCACAATCTACCACATGTAGTCCTTCCGTCACTCTCACTCCATTACACTAACATTGCCTCAATCTACCACATGTAGTCCTTCTGTCACTCTCACTCCATTACACTAACATTGCCACAATCTACCACATGTAGTCCTTCCGTCACTCTCACTCCATTACACTAACATTGCCACAATCTACCACATGTAGTCCTTTCGTCACTCTCACTCCATTACACTAACATTGCCACAATCTACCACATGTAGTCCTTCCGTCACTCTCACTCCATTACACTAACATGGCCACAATCTGCCACATGTAGTCCTTCCGTCACTCTCACTCCATTACACTAACATGGCCACAATCTACCACATGTAGTCCTTTCGTCACTCTCACTCCATTACACTAACATGGCCACAATCTGCCACATGTAGTCCTTCTGTCACTCTCACTCCATTACACTAACATGGCCACAATCTACCACATGTAGTCCTTCCGTCACTCTCACTCCATTACACTAACATTGCCTCAATCTACCACATGTAGTCCTTCTGTCACTCTCACTCCATTACACTAACATTGCCACAATCTACCACATGTAGTCCTTCCGTCACTCTCACTCCATTACACTAACATTGCCACATCTACCACATGTAGTCCTTTGCCACAATCGTCACTCTCACTCCATTACACTAACATTGCCACAATCTACCACATGTAGTCCTTCCTGTCACTCTC